GTTGTGTCCTGCTCATACTGGCCATTAGGAGATCTCATCCTCATGCACTTTTAATGGAAGTGATAAGGGAACAAAATCTACAGTCCTTTAGTGCAAAAATGTATTCAAAGGTTTAAAAATAGAGGACTATTAGAAAACATTTTCTTTAATGGTTTTCTAAAAACATTGCTGCCTTGCATCTGTCCTTGAGTTTGTCTCTTTCAGTTCTGAACAAATATGTTCAGTGCTGCTTCTTTTTTCCATTGTGTGTGTCTCTCTCTAATGTTGCTGTATGTTTGCTGTGTTGAAGGCCGAGGACAGCGAGCGCTTCAAGACAATGGTGCAGTTTGAGTGTCGAGGTCTGGAGCCCATTGACTTCGAACCACAAGTAAGAACGTTTGAACAGATTTGAGTTTTACAATGCATATAGAATAGGCTTTTTTCACAGTGGACATTTAACCTTGTAGGAAAAGCACAAGTGTTCCAACTCAAGTGTCCCTGACCGTGTGACTCTGAGCCAGCATGCACAGTACCAGCACCCTGAAACAAAAGCAGCCAAATGGGACTCAGCAAAGATTGATTTTATTATTTGCACCTGTGCTTTTTCTACTGTGACATGTCAAAATGTCTTCCATGTGAATGACCTACTTAATGTAGAGTGTGTACATTTTTAACTGGTGACATTTGGCCTGCCAGATACATTTGCAAATAGGGTTGAACCATATGTGACAACTGATAACTGTCTCAGAAAACATAATGGCATATGGTGGTGTTATTATTATTATTATTATTATTATTAATTATAATAACTATTTAATTAGTAGCATTGGTAACACCTGTGTTTACCCTACTATTTCACTATTGCTGTGAAAAAAGTCTGTTGCTGCATGAGTGTGCTGACTCACTAGAACTGCCCACCTAAACTGAATGAAATCAATAACTGGTATTAGATACACGCTTGCTGAGTCAACATATTTTCTGTGGAAAAAGTATATTGCTCCTGAGTCAGAGAGTTTACTTGAGAAACAGTATTATATATTATCATGTGGCTCTTCTCAATTTCCTCTTTTTTAAAAAAAAAAAAAAACCCCACTCCAGGCGGGTTTCGCTGCACAAGGAGCAGAGTCTGGAACACCGTTTCTTGAAATCAACCTACAAGAAAAAGTAAGTGCAGAGGGAACAACTTGTCCCTGATGGTTAGTCAGATTTGGTTTCAGCTTTTGGTTGTTGCACACAAATTAACTTTTTAGAGAATGTTTTACTTGAAACAGAATTTCAATTCTGATTGATGGCATCCTTCATTACAGGTTCTTCCATTCATTTTCTACTTTTCTGAAAATGACTAATAATAATAATCCCAACAGAATATGACAACCTCTTTTATCTGTGCAACTTGACAAACCCTCGTTTTGTAAATTTCAGGACTGGACAGACTACGACGAGAAAGTCAGCGAGTCGGTGGGAATATATGAGGTCACACACCAGTTCAAAAAGTGCTGATGTCATCATGTGATGAGCGAATGAACACTACAGTTAAACATCCTGGGGCCTCTTTCCTGGCATCAAGGGATGCTTCAGATGCTGAGGTGGCGTGGTTTGGTTGGTGATGAACATTAACAGCTGTGGATTAACAGCAC